AAAATTCCAGCTGACCTGATCTCCCCCACAACCGGAAAACCGCACCCAAGCAGCCTGTCAAAAAGAGGAACTGGCCAAAGCAGCAAGTCACCAGGGTCAGATGGGAGCTTCTTCCTTTTGGAAACACTTGACACCGAAAGCAACGATTCGGCTCGTGATCCCACACACAAACACCCTGTGGAGAGCCTGAATGTTGACCCAAAAATGGAGACCGAAGTTGACTCTATAGCAAACCCACACTCTAACCTTTCCCAGTTTGTCCCAGCACAGTGTGAAACCTCCACAGAGAGTTCATTTGAGATGCTGGGTGATCCTCGAAGTGGACACCAAAGTAGCACTGATTCTCCAGATCTTCCTCAGGTGAAGAACCCCCTGTGCTTCAGCTGCCTGAGGAACAGCCCTGTAGCTGCTGGTGCCCCTCAGAGTCAGTATGTGTTGTCGCAGGAGGATTACCAAGCCCTACTGGCCGGGGTTTGCCATGCGTGTCTGCTGAAGAGACTTCACAGTGACGAGACACAATTCAAACTCAAGACACACAGATCTGCCCACAGTGAGTTTGAATTGAAAGTTGTAGTAACTCAACATTATCTTAAACAAATACATCACCTAAAAAGTAACCGTTTGTATATCAATTACACACCCATTGCTAGATTGAATTATTTAAGACAACTTGGTTTTCTCGCATTCGTCTTAAAGGTCCCATGTCATGGCCATTTCTACTGATCATAATTCCATGTTTGAGGTCCACTAAAATAGATTTATATTGTGCAATTTTCCAAACTCGCATTGGTTTCTCACAGCATCTCTGTATAGTATGTGTATTCACTCTCTGTCCTAAAGGGCTTGTTGGAGCTCCTGCCCCCCCCCTCCCTGTGAGCCCAGTGGCCGTCTGCGAGACAGCGAGACACCCAGCCCGAACACACACACCCGCAGCCTGGCTGGGAGTTTGTGTGTGTGCTCACAAACCGACTCACAGCCTCGCCGCGTCCCGCCGTCTCAGTGAGGAGAAATCGGCGGAGCTGCAGCTGAGAAAAGATTGAGTGTGTGTGTGTGTGTGTGACGTAACAGCTCCGCGGACGTAACATAAAGGCTCCACCGATTGGTCCATTTGGGTCGTCGTTACATCACTTAGTACCAGAAGGAAAAAGAGAAATCCCCAACGAGGCGTTCTGGGGCAGCACAGACAGGTCTTCTCTGTGTTAGAGTTTTACTCGCTAGAGGGTGTACTTTGAGGGTTTTTCACTCTGCAGACCGTTTACATGCAGAAAAACCTTCATAACACAAGGGGACGGGTAATAACCGGAAAAGCATAACATGGGACCTTTAAGTATGCAAACAACGAAGGAAAATCTTGATTTATTGAAGTTAATTGTGACACATTATTTTGCACCAAACCTTACTATTAAGCACACTTCATCCACCAGCACAAGCCTGAAACTGCTTATGTGGAAGTGTTTTAAATACTATTATCCAGAAATGCATGTGTCTGGAAGGTAGTGGGCCTACACCTGGATACATAAGGATTGGAATATCATTTCTAAATTGTGTCAGAGTTTGAAAAAAGATGGCCCCACTGTACTTTAATTCATCATGAAAAAGTCTTAAAGAATGTAAACCGGCTTGAGTAACTGATAACATAAGCTAAGATGGACCTTTATTGATCCCCATAGGTACATTCAGGTGTAATAACAGCAACAGAATAACAGGGAGAGTTCACATGAGAATATACAAAGGGATAATAAGAATACAATAAAAAATGAAGTAACAATACAGAGATTACAAGAGTTAAACTCTGATCCGGTGAATGTACATATATACCAGGTTAAATATATACACATTTAAATGTGCGGGTACCTGTGCGGGTGAAAGTCGTATGTGCATACAGTGCAAATATTAATAATATTCAGCGCCGGTTATTTTTGATGGGTTACAAGGTTAACCCTTGATTGGGCAGTCTAGTGGCTACAGGCACAACAGATTGCCAGAGGCGCTTAGTGCTGTGCCGAGGAGGGATAAAACCAAAGATCATTTGTGGTTGAAATGTTCTTTTAATCTCTCAATATGACCTCTTTTAGATGCCCTTCATTTGAAGTTCTCCAAGGCCACAGGAATGTGGACAGCCAGAGAGACCTGTGTTTACATCGGGGAGCCAATGGGGATACAGGGCAAGCAGAGAACAGCAATATGGGTGCAGTTCTTACACCAAGAGGAGAGGTTAAGCAGGTAAGCCGCCGCACAATCGAAGCACGGCCTGAACATAACAACTTTAAGTCTCACTTTGTATCTATGTCCTTAGTTATGTTGGGAAAGATTACCTGAAGCCAAAGGAGATCCAGTTCCACCTGAAAGATGTGGAGAGACAGATGACAGCCCAGTACTATGTGACTGAATTCAACAAGAGTCTATACGACAAGGAAGTCATGGCTCAGATCTTCTTCATTCCCTCCGAAGCACTTCTGGTGAGGCCAATAGTAGATTTAAAATGACTCCATTCATAATGCCCCTTTAATAGGACCACCTACATGAAGAAATAACTTCAGAGGCAGCAGAGAGTAGATTAGCCTGCAGCATTCAGCAGCCTTGGAGCATTTTTAGTTTAAATCCACTGTAATACCCCAGTTCAGTTTACAGCTAGATACTGTAACCCTGTGATGACTGTAGATCCAATGTTCTGTGGGTCTTTGGTATAGAATGTTACTTAGAGGTGTTAAAAGGGGAACATTATGGTTCAAATAATAGCTTAAGGGTGAATTTTAACGGTTTATCCTTTCCATTGACATTTTGGACCTCTATTAAAATTAAAAACCCTATAGTATGGTTGCAAGACTTACTCTGGTCAGCATTTAATTGACTTGACGAGACATAAAAAGACCATAGGAATAAGCAGGTACAGCCATGTTGATGAGTTGCATTTATGAGAAATCATTTCCCTCCTCTTCTCTGCGCTTGTAAATAGATTTTGAATGGAGATGAGATTGCGGGCTGTGTAACAGTGGAGCCCTTCATGCTTGGAGACTTTGTCAAACTGACCAACAACACGGGGAAGAAGGACAAGAGTTTCCAGGCTACGGAATACGGCCTCGCTTTTGGACATTTTACCTACCTGTTCTCTGACTGCCAGGAGGTTGTTGTCGACCTGCAAGGTGTGTGTTCACGGAGATGATTGTATTGTTGATATATGGGAACGTTTGCAGCGTCTGCTTTCTGTTTTCACAGGGTGGGTGACAGCCAATGGAAAAGGGCTGACGTACCTCACTGACCCCCAGATTCACTCCACCAAGACCCCCAAAGGACCATCCAATTTTGCTGACAGAGGCCTCAGGTACTTCCTGGAGGAGCAACATGGACCAGAGTGCAATGGCATTTGCCAGCTGCTCAAATTACCTCGAGTGCTCAGACAGCCACACGTTCTGCCTCAGAAACTCTGAGGAGTTGCCAAGAAATGGACCTTTGTATTAGCTAATCAGGTGAAGGTTTTATATATAAGTTGTTTGACTTATTAAATATGAGTAACATGCCATTAATAAAGTGACTGAAACTTGGTGCCACATGATTTAGCCAAAATGAACCGAGTTACAATCATACAACTGATATTAATGATGTTTTTGTATTACCTGGTCCTAATAACCTCAGACCTAATACATTAGCACACCTTTCTTGTAGTTATGACTCGCATACAACCAATTTCCCCCCCAAAATATAACTCTAAGCTTCTGATACAATTGTTTTATTTATTTTTTTATCTTGCTATGATGGTTAGATACTTCTTATTTAAACAGCTGTACAACTTAGCAATGAGATCAAATCAACAGAATTGTGATTATAGTTACATGAAATTATCATTGAGGTGGTTTATTGTATAAAATCATACCGTAGAATTAACAATTTGGGCATTTCTTGTAATTACTTTCCACAGGGTTACGCTGACTCACTTTTTGGATTTGTCAAGTTATTGCTAAAGCCCAAATATTTAGACACAAATAAAGAAATCATGCAATAAATACACTTTTGTTTTGCTTTGGAGGTAATGTCTCTGCACCATGTGAGTGGCTACACCCTCATGTTACATATTCAGCTTTTTTGCAAAAGTTGATATAAAAATAAAATAACCTTGTAGACATGCAACACACTTGACTTTTAAAATATATGTAGCTGTATTTATTCAACATGAGATTGTGATTGCATAACCCTTTTGTTACAACTTTTACCTAACGTGACCTTGGCACACTTTTGAGTCAAGGTTATATTTTTAAGGTTTCCGTATCAATGACAAACATTTGTTTAAAATTCCAATTATGATAACAAAGCATGACTCAGCACTTTTCCTATCTGTGGAATCAGAGTAGAACACATCCAGATAAATGTAGCCAGAGTTGAGAATAAGGAGACTGCATGTTTGCAGGTTGAATACTAGCCTCAACTTTTACTGTGTAAGATGAGTTGCAGAAAGTACATTTACTCAAGTATTGTACTTAATTACTTTTTTGACATATTTGTACTTTACTTGAGTATTTCCATTTAATGCTAATTTATACTTCTACTCCCTTTCATTGTAGAGGCAAATATTGTACTTTTAACTCAGTACATTTATTGAACACTCATAGTTACTGTATTAAAAAAACCGCATAGTATGCTGATATGGTATAATGCAGTACTGCACTACTAATCTACACAGTATTCCTAGTATCTGAATTTGGTCCACATTGACCAACTACAATACTAAAATGCTCTCACTTGTATAAAAACAGAATAACATAATAATATAATACTACGAGAAGATCCATTCTGCATCACGAGTACTTTTACTCTTGATATTTAAGGTTAATTTAGCTGATAATACTTCTGAACTTCATATTCTTCTGAAATGGGCCATTGTGCAGAATGAGTACTTTTACGTTTTGTAAAATTGCTGCAAATACTTTTGTACTTTAACCTTTAAGTTAATTTAAGTACAATTTGGAAATCCAGACTTGTACTTGTAGTGGAGTATTTTTAAAACATTAGTATTTGTACTTTTACTTACAGTACAATATCTTAGTCCTTCCTCCAACACTGTGTATGATAAACATAAATATTAATTCAAAATGTGGACAGTGATTGGGAATGTATTAAGTAATGCTTTACATCATGTGCTCTGAGGATTGAACAAATGAGAAAGATCATCATGTGACACACACCTTCACATCACCTGCCACTGATGTCATGTATGGAGCTATAAGCACACGTGGTCCTCCGTTCAGTTCAGTTCAAATCCAGTCCAAGGTTTATTAGCCTCCATCATTTGTTAACACAAACAACATTCTTTACCCCTGACCCACTGGAGCTCACAGTATGTGCTTTCTAAAAAGCAGAACGTATCATATTTCCCTGAGAAGTAGTGTATATGTTTACCTTTACCCTGTCATGTAATTAAGCTAAATGTGATCTTAACATGTTATAATAACAGGTAAACAGTCCTCTGTGATCATAGAGTTGAAGTGTCATGAGTAGGGTGATGTAATGCTTTTATGATCTGTCATGGGAAACCTGATAGCAGAAATGTTTCACTCAGATGTTTAACTTTATGAGAGTTATATGGTTAATGGTAAAACCTGGAAGGGGGTCTCTCTCCTGGAGCCTCAGGGACTGTGTTTATAAGGAAGAGAATCCCCTCTCGAGCACCAGAGTGTTTGTGGCTGCCTGACAACAGACAGTGGAAGCCATAAGAATGAAACTCTTAATACTGTCGTGCCTCCTTGCAGGCTGCCTGGCTCAGGAGCCTCGACCATGCTGTAAGTAAACTAAAAAGTGATTGTGGTTGTTGGATTTATCTCATTTCTTATAATATCTTGTGCTTTCTGAACAGTCAAATTGGTAGTGTCAATGTTTCTTATTGCTGACTTACACAGGGATCCAGCTTTATGTGTTTAAATCTTTAGTATTTTATTTAATGCAATGTTGTAATTTCACAATTCTTTCCACAGCAAGTCCTCGTCTTCTCACCGGAGCCCTCACTATGGTGAGTGCTTATTGTGTTTTGTATGAGCATCATTAAGCAGAACCTGAGCAATGACTCAGCACAATTACAACATGTGAAATAGGAAGATGTAGACTCACTTTTGAAAGAACATCCATAACATTCATATGTTTGCAACTTAAAACAAAAAAACATGGAAACATGGAAAAAGTATTTGGATAATAATGAAATGATGGCAAACTATTTGTACCATGTCCACCCTGCCATGGGAAGGCTTGCTGACAGGGTGGACAAAGCTACCGGGTGGACATTTTTGGCTAATATTAGCATGTAATGAGCACATGGTCGACCTTCAGTTAGCAACATGATTCAGTTCGCAAGGTAAGTAAGTAAAGTTTATTTATAAAGCGCTTTTCACAACATAGGAGGTGTACAATGATCAATGAACCCATAAAACACATGTTAAGAAGTCATAAAAGCACCAGAGCATAATTAAGACACAATAAAACAAAACTTACAAAGGAAATTTAAAACAAACAAAATAAAAACATAGTATTAAATGGAATAAAATCAGGCACACCGGCTACCCAAACGCCTGCCCAAACAGGAATGTCTTTAGAATAGTTTTAAAAGAGTCAACAGACTCCGCAGATCGTAGATGAGCAGGCAGAGCATTCCATAATTTAGGAGCCACAGCCGCGAACGCTCGATCACGCGGGTCTTGGGGTGGGTGCGTGGGACAGAGAGTAAATGTTGCCTGTGAGACCTGAGTGACTGTGTACTGTTTAACAAATATATTTCGAATTTCTGAAAGGTTTTTATATTAATTGACATTTCACTATGACGGAGTGGACATGTTAAGCTTGACAACATCCAACTACACACATAATATGATTACAATTTCGAAATATAAGTTTAAAAACTTACTTTGCAACTAGCCAATGTCTATTGAGGAAAGACAGAATGGTGGTAGTGATATCACTGAAAACATCAGAGGGTTTGTTATGGGGCAGTTACCCCTTAATGACAGGGTGGACAGCAAATGTCAGGGACACGTGAAAAATATATATGAATCAATATTATTATGAAAATAGAATATACATGATCAAAATTACTCGTTTTATCAAATAACTCGTTGTGGACAATAAAACCATATACTTTTTTCTTTTTTTAAAATGTAGTATAATTTAAGCACTTATTACACACACTGTAGTCAGCAGAGTAGTGTGTGGGACATGCCAAAATCACATACATCCAATGCAAAAATAAGGTATAAAATGAAGGAAACACATTTCAAGAGACTTATCATTGTACTGTTTGTCATACTGATATTTTGTACAAACTGTAAAGTCCACTGAGACAAATGTAACATTTGTGATATTGGGCTATATAAATAAACATTGATTGATTGATTGATACTGTTAAATGTTCGGCCTTTTATAATAAGACCTCAGAGTTTCATTATTCTGCTACATTTTCATGATAACTGAGTGATTCTGATGGGGACACCAACGTTACTTTATAGTGATATCGACCCAGCTATGTACAAATGACAATGAAAGCCTTGAATCTTGAAACTCACATGATCTTTCTCCAGTCCACACAGAAGGAAAATCTGTGGGTCTATGCCAAGTACCTGTACGATGCAATGGGACAGCGGATCAGACTCATGGAGCTGGGGACCTATGAGAATAAGACGTTCAGCTACGACGTTCTCCTGCTCTACAGAGAGGTGACCAACGCTATGACATAAACATCAGTATTCATTTAACGGTTCAGAAGTACAAGGAACATTGATTTAACATTTGAACAAACTCTGGAGTTGGACACCATTAAAGGAATTTGCTCTTCAGAGTTTTCTAATGGCAGTAGGAGTTTTATGTGCACCTTGCAAATGATTAACATGAGGCATCAACAAGACTATAATCTTTAGTGTTATGTTTTTGAGTTCACAATTACTGCTTATACCTGTCTATGACAACATTCATCCTGGTAAAGAAGTGAATGTGAATGTACAGATTTTAGTGCTTTTAAAGGCTAGTGACAGTTACAGTTTAAGAGACACAAGGAGGTAAAAAGTATGATAATACAATAACTAATGATCCCTCCCAGACAGCAAAATGAATAGATACAATAAAATATAAAAATCTATAGAATAAATAAAACAAAATAAAAATAGTAACCATAAGACTAAAGTAAAGGTACAAAAGTACCCGGTCCATCACCAGGAATGAATAATGTTGGTATGATTGTATTATGCATAGATGTTAGTCAGGTTTAAAAGTCATTACCCTGCAACTCTCCTCCTCAGGCTACCGTGTATGAGATCCACAGGCACAACCGCACATGCAACAAAAGGCCTCTGAAGGGAGACTTCCAACCCATGGTTATCCCAAAAGATGCGTCTCTGTTGGGCCAGGTTATTTTAGGCAGCTCTTCCGGACCTGGAGAAGGACTCCTGGTCAACACTTGGACGGGGGATCTCCCCGAGAAAGCAGGTAGGACAGCACATTATAGTTTGTGCTGCATTGACTGCCTTAGATTTTATTTACACATGCCTTTTCTTCTCCAAACTTCACAGGGAAGTTCATGAGCACAGTCACTGAATTTGGTTGCATTCCTGTCACTACTGTGTTCCACACCGACCAGTTTGGATGGGTGATGTTTAGGTAAGTACACTGTTGAAATCACCATATAGCAGAAAGGATAGTTTGATGATGATGAAAGGCCTAGCAGGGACTTTTAGAAAATGTCAATTGTTTTGCTTCCCACCAAGTGTCTCTTTCTTTCTGTTTCCTAGCTACTTTGACAATGTCATTGGGATTTTGGACCCCCAAGAGCTTAACCCTCCAGCCTACTGCCAGCACGCGGAGATGAAGGCCGGTGATGAGGAGCCAGTGGACTTCTTCAGCTTGTTCAATAACAAGCACTGAGGGACACCTTTAACATACCATTTCAAATTAAACAAATAGATCATAGCCTTTTTCATATAACATTTACTCCTGAAAAAAATGTCAACAAAATGATGCAACCTAGACAGGTTTTGGAAAACTTTTCTTTTTGTTTTTTTTACAATTTTCTGTCTTGAATTTAAGGCTGCAATTATGAATGTTTTCTGAAGTAAAATCGCCATGTCACTTAATCTTGTGATTTCTATCAATAAAGATATAAGTATAAAAAGCACATTTCAACTGGTCTATCTGTTTAATTACAACCTGCTGGCTAATACTGGCTCATTTACAGCAATGTGGAATAATGTGCACTGTCCTTTAAATAAATAAACAAACAAACAATCTACTAATATGCTATCATACAGCATTATAATGGGCAAAAGTGGCGCATGGCAAAATGTCAAGCGTTTACAGAATCTACATCTTTCACAATACATTTCCAAGTGTCTAGTGAAAACAGGAAACGGTATAAACATGACTATATCATTTCAGAAATAAACATCCGTGCAAAACATGTTCCTTTTAGATACTACAAAATCTGGAGTATTGAACCCAAATAGTCCCCTGGAAGGCCTATTTTAAAGGTTTACATAAAAGATTGCAACTATTGGGAGAAAGAAATGAGATGTCGTGATTAAACATCTCAGGCTAGATATAAACCTCGGGTCACGGGGATGCTGCACATTAATAACATTAACAAAGATATATTCTGAGGGCAGGTGTGTGAGCTTCTCAGGACGGTTAGAAAACCTGGCAGTGGATGCAGACCGGGAGCCTCCCCTGTTTGTTTATAAGGAAGTGAACTCTGTTGCAGCAGCATATCTGGATCTGTGTGCAGAGGAAAGTGTTTCTGCCATCGGACAGCATGAGAGCCTTCATCCTGCTAGTGTTCCTGTCAGCGTGCTGCCTGGCTCAGAGACCCAAACCATGCAGTAAGTACAACAAAAAGATGTGACTTTGTCATCTAGTTTCCCTGTGAATGATGACGATCAGTTATGTGCTGTTCTGTTTTTGCTTTATGAAGAAATGTTTGCAAGCTTTGACGTATATGATCCATTTGTAATAAAAACTAGGGCCGGGACTTTAACGCGTTAATTAAGATTAATTAATTACACAAAAATTAACGCGTTAAAAAAATTAACGCATTTTAATCGCACTTATTTTTGCACCGCGGAACGTTTCTCACTGGATGAGTTTCAGGCGTACCGATTATACTGGAGCACCAACTAACGTTCATGACTTCAGACAACAACAAACCACAGTGAACAACAGTGGGAAATGTTGTTTTAAAAAACGGACGGATGGAAGCGTCGATAAGAGCACGGTTGTGCAAATTATGCAAAAAGGAATTCGCATATCACCGCAGCACATCAAGCCTCAAGTATCACCTCAATGCAAAACATATAGCAGCTAGCGTGGACGTTAGCCTCTTTTATCGCGTTCACACCAAAAAGAGCCGGTACTCAAATTAGTTCATGAGAACCTTTTTACCCCCACGAAAGTCCCTGCTAGAGAGCAGAGAGCTGCGAGAGAGCAGGGACTTTCGTACGGCTCTCTTGTGAGAAAAGAGCTATATGTCTGATTGGCTGGGCGGATTGCAAACCACGCCCCGTAAAACTCCCAAAACGTTTAATTAGCATTATTAGCATTAGCCCAGCGCAGAAACGCAGAGAGACTAACTTATGGCAACACAAAATAAAACATGGGAGCGGTGGAGATGAGGAGGTGTCGGCGTTCTGGCGATTTACTCGGAAGGCTTCAGTAGAAGCTGCTGGGACTCCCAGCAGCTTCTACTGAAGCCTTCCCTAACTCCGGGGACTTCCGGCCGGGGACTTTGGGCGGCAGTGTACGCCGTGAAGTGGTTTGCGGCCTGCCAGTAAACCCAAAGCAGAAGAAGAAGAAGTGACGTCAGCGGCTTCATTTGCCTAATCCTCCCCCAGGTTCAAAGAGTTCTCATGAACTAAATTCTCATGAACCTTTGTGGGAAAAGTACTGCGGTGTGAATGGTATACTAAAATCCATGTGAAAAAAATTGCTTCTCACTGTTCTCAGGTCAAATATGTATATGTGATTAAAAATGCGATTAATTTCGATTAATTAATTACAAAGCCTCTAATTAATTAGATTAATTTTTTTAATCGAGTCCCGGCCCTAATAAAAACATTTATTTTATTTGTAACAGAATCCCCACGACTGCTGACTGGAACTCTCTCTGTGGTAAGTGTGTATCTCCTTTCACAATAGTGTAAAAAAAAGCAAAACATATTGGATTACTTTCATTCAAAAAAGATCCAATTTGCTTTAATAATACATTGTATCCTTTTCCAAGGCTACCCAAAAAGAGAATCTGATGGCCTATGCCAAGTACACCTATGACGCACTGGGACAGCGAATCCGCCTCAGAGAGTTTGGAAGTTATGACAATAAGAGCTTCCACTTCGATGTACTTCTACTCTTCCAAAAGGTAATGACAATAACATTTATATCTGCATTCAGAGATGCCGTGTGCAACACATATTCATCTTTACTGCTAATCTGTCCTCCAGGGTGTCATGTACAAGATAGATAAGAAGAACAAAACATGCTGCAAGAAGCCACTGAAGACAGACTTTCACCCACTGGCCATCCCAGAGGACGCTAACCTGCTAGGACAGGTGGTGCTGGGCAGCTCCTCGGGACCAGGGCAGGGGGTCCTGGTCAACTCATGGGAAGGAGAGCTGCAGATGAAGAATAGAACAGGTAGATTTAGAGGAAGTGAACAGAGAGGAAGTTAGACAGATATGCGGCGTTTGTAGCACATGACTTTCTGTGATTACAAAACCTGCTGGTCTGGTTTTGCTGCCTCAGCTAACTTGTGATCTTCTTTTGTTTCTGCAGCAAAGTACTTTAGCACCGTCACAGAGTTTGGATGCGTCCCTATCACCACCATGTTTCACACCAGCCAAAGTGGATGGATGGTGACCAGGTCAGTGAGTGCAGAGACAACTCACACATTTTGAAAAGTTATTTGAAAGAATACAATACAAGACTTTATCAACCATTGTCAAATGTGCTTGGACTTGTCAAACACAGGTTTTAAAATTGTAATGGACAAGTTTCATTTCTGTGTGTCAGTGTAACTGGTGTTTTAAAGGTCACCTAGTATGCAAAATCCACTTTTTCAAGTAGTTCTACATCAACATGTGTCCCCTCTGTGTAAAGAGATTCTGAAAGTTTCAGGAAAAAAGATTCGCTCACTTTTTGTCCTGATCCATTTCTATAAATGCTGTCTGAAAATGAGCTGATCAGATTTTGTCCACTTTATGATGTCATAACGATTTTTTGGCTTGTGTAACCATTAGCCAATCAGAAACCAAGGTTTTAAGATCATAAGCTTATTCTCTTTCTTGCAACGTGCGATGATTATTTAGACAACTACATATCTTCTGTAAAATATAAAGCTCAATCCAGGAGAGGGTTTGCTTAGTTTAGCATAACGACTGCTAAAAATAAAATGTTGTGGTTTATATTTTTGCATCTTCTTTGATTTCAGTACATTATTGTAGCATCCATTGTTATGTTTGCTAGTTCATCATGGGATCTTCATGTTTTGTTTAACCTTCAGCTTCTTCAACAACGTCATTGGATTAGCGGAGCCTCAAGAACTCATCCCTCCACATTTCTGTAAGGACGCCCAGCTGGAGGAAGAGGAGGATGAGGATCCAGCGACCTTCTTCAGCTTGTTTTAAAACAGTTATGTGATCTTCTTTGATGATGAATACTCTAATATGACTCTTTGCACTCTATTGTTTCTTTACTTGAGTAGCAGTCATTGGTGTGGTATATCTTTGGGTAGAATTCATGATGCAATTAATTACATTTGAATCAATACAATTCCTGTGTGTATAACCATTAGATTGAGTGTAAGAAGTGATTGACAACAAAACAGTTGACGTAAATGATAGGCTACAGTTAAAAAGTCACTTGTGATGGAACAGTAATAAAAAATCAGAAATCAAATCATTCAGATTGTTTTAGTTGTTTTTGCTTGCTTTTGAAATCTGTTTATTAAAGTATGTTCTACTTTGATTTACATTAAACCAGTGAAGGTATGGCACAGCAGTGCAAAAGGCTAACATGCACATGATGCTAATGCTCAGCTGGCGGGCGTGTGGTGCAGTCAGCATGTTGTTGTTGTTGTTCACCCCAAAGTGCTCCTGTGGGGATTGCCCACCGTATTGAGTATGTTAGTCGCTTTGGATAAAAGCGTCTAACATGTAATGTAATGGTATGTTTCCCATGTTCACCATCTTAGTTAGTGTTTCTTAATTAGCACTGAATATAATTAGCTGAGGCTGGTGGGAATGTTATTAATACTGCATGTATTTGGTCATAAACCGTACTACTCAAACTGAGATGTTGACCTACTGTATGTCAGCACATCCGCACTTGGGTAAATTAAAGATAAAAATGTTTGTGATGATCTTTATACTTAAAAAGAAGTACATTACATACTCATTTACTCTTTACTTTTAAATCTTAACTGTCACAAACCGGCTCAGGAAATGCTACTGAAGAGAGGAGACATGTCAGGTTAGCGATGCATTTATTAAATCAATCATCAAGACACCACCACAGGAAACAAGACAATATATGATACAGTATAAGGGTGTAATGTGTGTGTGCCAGTGCAGCGGGCAAGTGACGAACCAAACTGGGCCTGGATGGCTCCTGGAACACTTGTGGGACCCTCCCTGACAGCAGCAGACAAACAGAGCAGAGAGGGAGGAGTCATAACATAACCTAGACTTGATTTTTCATAATGGATACTATATATTCATACATACACAAGAGGGCAGTGTTGCACTTTAATTCCCACACATTTGGAGATGTGCATTTGGAATTGTTTTAATCAGGTCAAAATGTATTCAAATATTAAACCACTAAATAAATGCTGAGGTTGATTTTTGTTTTATCTTCAATATGCAATTATTTCTTGGTGTTTATGTCAATAATAGAAAAAAAGAACTAGCTAAATAAAATATCATAAAAGACAAAGCTGTGTGCGATGTCAAATGTCAATTTGTCTCCTGAAAAAATCACAAAAAAGTAATAGTATTGTATGCAATGAAAAAGAAAAGAAGGTAATGACAGTAATTAAAACGTCTTCGTATAATAGTATATATAATAGTATAGTATGTTAAAATATGAAAGAAACAACATAGTATAGCATGTCGAAAATATAAAAAAAACAAATAGTATAGTATGTCGAAAATACGCAAAACATTGGTATATATAATATGTCAAAAATATGAAAAAACGACAGGTCGACATTTTCAGAAAACAACGGCAGAGTATGTCGAAAATATACTTAAAAAAAGGCATTGTATATAGTATGTCGAAAATATGCAAAAATAAATGCCTAGTATAGTATGTCGAAAATATAAATAAACTATGCAAAATATGCATCAATAAAAGGCATAGTACAATATGTCGAAAATATGCTAAAATAACATAGTAAAGTATGTCAAAAAAGGGAAAAAAAGACATAGCCTACTAAATGTCGTAAATATTTAAAAAAGTTATATATCGACATATATATAATTTCTTTGATATTTTTAACAAACTATCCTCATCATTTGTGGATACTTTTGACATACGTATGACTTTTTTCAAAATAGCTTTATTTTAGATTTTTCGACAATCAGACCACAACATTTTTGTTGACATAATACTATGACGTTTTTTCAGGTTCTTCAGCATTCTATACCAAGTTTTTTGTATACAATGTCTGAGACATCATGAAGATGAACATGTTTATAATAAAACTTTTCATTAAAAAAAAGTAGGCCATAAAGGCAATAAGTTGTATATTGCTTTTTTTTTATTTTGCAATGTCTTTTTAAAAATCTAAAGATCATTGTATCGTACTGCATTAACATGTCACAAAATGAATGCCGTAAGAAGAAGACATATATAGTATGACGTAAAAAAAATGAATGAATTAAAAAGGCAGAGTAGTACAGTATGCCATGGACAAACAAATGCAAAAGTCATAGTATAATATGCAATAAGAATCATTTTATTGTACGCCACGAAAATGTCAAAAATGTCATAGCAAAGTCAAAGTACTGAGTACCATGAAAAGGTTAAACAAAAAAGTATACTACACAAGAGATGGAAGAGTGAGGACTGCCACATGTTAGCGTGTTTGAATGATAATGAGAATATTATACATGGATGTATTTGGCGTGACAAATAAAAACATTTAAACAATGAGGTATGAAGAATAAAACAAACATCCCTTCTTTGAAAATTGTGTTTAATAACTTACTTATACAATATTATGGCCCTCCATGTATTTATTGTATAAAGCTGCTATACAATAGGACGAGGAGTCACCTGGTAGCAGTAGTAAGTCATTCCCCTGAGCTCCCCCACCTCCTGCACACTAACATCTGATGACATCACCCCCGCCTCCTGGGCCTCAGTCTCCAGCCACAGGAGCCTGGCATCAGGGTCTTCATCGGAGAACTGGAGCAGCGATCCTGAGCTACGCAACACCTTCAAACACTGCTTCAGCACCAGACCAGCCTTCCCTTTGCCCTCCTTGGACCTCAGCAAGGCGTCTGTGGTGCCCTTATCCACTATAAGGTCCACACTTCTACAGACATAGTGTGTCTGAAGCTCCGTGCAGTCCAGCTCTACAAACTCAAGCTGAGAGGAAGCATTGTGAGGTTGGATGGTATTGGCTTGGATGTGTTCCAGCATCTGTCTCACAGCTATGGGAGAGATGTCCGCACACGTGACCCGTACCGGGAGATGGGAGTGTCTGTAAATACAGGGCCCTATAGCGGAAGTGCCACAGCCCATATCCAGGACGTGGAGCAGAGCGTCTCCGTGGGACTTGGTCTGCAAGGATGGCATGATGAAGTCCCGGATGGCATCGAATCCGAAGAACCACTCAAAGTTTTTGAAGGTGGTTGTCCTGTTTCTGTTCTCAGCATAGAAGCGGTCCCAGGTTGCTTTCTTATCCATGTTTTCAATGAGATCAGCTAAGGAGAAACACAGATGAGATTATACCATGAGAGTAAGTAAGTGAGCATTAGCATTTAGAACTAACCTTAGTAACAAATACGTTAATGAAATGTGTCCACTGCTTGTAAAAAGTATAAGTGCAAAGGTATTATGAAGTACGCGGCAAAAGAAGAAAAAGAGGAGAAAGAAGCTCTTGAACGAGTCAAAGGAGCATTATTTCACAATATTAAATTAATGACAACACAGTTTATGAATTAAGAGAAGAATGGTCAAATAATCTTGATCACTGATACTGACGTTGGTGCCACTCTTTTGACACTTACAGTAAACAGTCAGCAGATGGCACTCTTACACAATGGATACACACCTGAGAAACTATCATTCTATGGAGCCTCATTGAGTAACACAGCACATGTTATTATCTACATAAGCAAGTCAATTGTCTCATGTCATCTACCTACCCAATGACACCATCCAAGTCCATTTGAGAATGTTAAAGGTATTGTCAAACACCTTATGTCCTGCACTCAGTCCCTTATATCAAACCCACAATCAGACAAAATTAAGGGACCAGCCTAAAACGACTGCAACAAGATTTCTAAAAGGCTCCACAAACTGATGGCATAGTACCCTGCAAGTTTTCTCTGAAAGATTACACAAAAGGGAAAAGACAGACGTATGGCGTCTCTGAATCTGGTGGAGATTGTTTTTCTGTCAACACAGAAGAGGTGATCCAAGTGTTGGACGTGGAGATTCAGCCTTAGACGCAGGATCGTAGCGGATTCTTGATGTTTGAGGAGGCGTGATATAGCATAACATGGCAAAACATGGAAGTCCTGTGACGTTTTCGATTTCAGGAATTAGCATCTTGCAGAAACTTTTCACCCAGCTTCCTCTTTTCTAGCTCCAACCTGAGCCTAATGTTTTCTTCCTGCAGGCGGTTGATTTCCTCTTGCCGAACCTTACAAAAGTCACATTCGGGATTTTGATTCCTCTACTGTGGGTGGTAGCGTCCTCTTCTCTCTGTGGACTCTTCTGTCAAAACGTCTTCTAAGTGCCCCAGCCGTACAGATAGAGCCCAGTCTGGTTTGTCTCCTTCATTTCATATTATTACATGTCATTTGTTAGACGCTTTTATCCAAAGCGACTTACATACATTCAGTTCTGTGGACAATTAGAATTGCCTTCAACCACATTTGTTATTGACGTAGAATTGATGGCATAACTCATTTCATTTCAAACCTTTATTGACCCAGGTGTATCCCATTGAGATCATTGATCTCTTTTTCAAGGGAGACCTGCTAACCCTCATAACTGAACATTTTGATCACCCTAGAGGAGCAATTTGGGGTGAAGTGTCTTCTGCTGACTGCAGTGGGACTCAAATTTGCCATCCCCTGATTCAAAGTCCAGCACTCTAGTATCCACTGAGCCACAGCCGCCTATCATATGCTGGTGTTCCTGAAAAACTTCAAGGATTCATACTGTCAGCAGGGTGAAAATTAACTTTCTGAGAAAAGAAAGTTGTGATTGTTTCTGTGTAAGGTTGCTGTCGCTGGATAATGTTTGTTAGCTTGCAGGGCCGTTTCTTCCTATAGGCGGACTATGCAGATGCATAGGGCCCCCGCGGCCACTAGGGGGCCCCCAAGCTTTTTTTTTTATTCATCCAAAAAACAAAAAAAGTATAATTCATACACACAAAGATGAACAAAATTAGTAGAAGCGGGAGGGCTGAAGCATAGCTTATGGAAAGTAGCCCTCCCGTGCATCATCCTAATACAACATCGGCATTATTGCGTGAAAAATGTATAGAAATGAAGGAGTACAAAGAAATAAAGAAAACAGGAGAAAAAATTCAATAAAAGTTAGGGCAGGAAAACAATAAATGCATATACGAAAACTAGATATAGGGTCATTTTCTGCACATGTCAATAGCAGTTTCAACTATCTTTTTTTGAAAATAAAAATACTATATATAAATATATACATATGTACACATGTAGCCTACTTGGCAAATTAATAATAATAATAATATATGCATAATTGCATATAAACATTGTGAACACTTATTTTCAAGTGACTTTTTTTACATTCGTATGTTCACGCTGTGGTTTGGAACTGCTTTTGAATGTTATTAGGCATTTTGTTATGGAAAATGTTGTGCATAACCAGTACTATTTTAAGCTGTACTATGTCAACACATTTTAATAGATTGAGTTTTTTTAAATATGGGAGTTTACTTTTACACCACTACATTTTATAATATCTTTAGTTACTTTGCACGTTTGGATTGTTAATGTGACATATAAACACTTAAATAAGACTTTAGTTACACCTGCAGTATAAAAAGTAATTCAAATTAACTCCACCTACACCAGCTTTGACAATTTTACTTTTTGTACTTTATAAGTATATTTTGCTGCTCATACTTGTGTACTTTTACTTGAGTAACATTTTGATTGCAGGACTTGTAATTGTATTCTTACACTCTGGTACTTCTACCATTACTTAAGATCAGTGTACTTCTTCCTCCTCTGATCATGATAAACTCACCTGTATGGAAATGCAGAGAGCAGACCTTGGCCGACATGGGTATGTTGTCAAAGGTGAGGTCTCTCTTTCTCACAGCTGCCACCCATGCCATCTGGCGTCTCTTGGTGATGTTGGCTACATAGTCTGCCTCGTAGTTTCCATGTGGGAAACGAATAAAACCTGATCCCATGGTCCATCTTCTCTTGTTGCCGTTTGTCGTGGGGTCGACTCTTACAGCCAAGGACACAACACCGCCCACTGACCATCATTTAAAAAAGTGTTGAGTGAAAACATATGCTACTCTCCTAGCTGTGGGTTGCGTTCGCCTCCGAAGATGGCCAAGTTGCCGTTGGTGACGTCACATTCACGCGACTCTTGAATTCATTTGTACACAAACCTGCAACTCAGTAAAACTTCCTAAATCAATAAAAGTTAACTCGTCCACTAACATACAACAGTTCTAACTCCGTGTACCAAGTTGTCTCCTTGTCTAACGCTAACTAGCTTGTTGACTGCTAGTGACCCTATCATGTGTCTCTCATGTCACAACACCAATACAAAACATTTAAACCCATATGCACTTAAAATGAGTAATTAAACGTTGAACGCACTTGTAACAGAGTGATGCCGTATCCACGCTGCAGCTATCCTCCTTCCTGACATTGTCAGCGACTTTGCTAGCGGAGACATTTTCTGTCAGAGTCCTGCTTGTCTTACTCTTCCCCCAAAGAAAGAGCTCTCACTCCGCCCATATTTCTTGGTACCAACAACCCACAAAAAGTAGTAGGAGACATCATCTGTTGATTTAGAGACGATATTTGACTAGGTTATGCAGCAATGACGCGACTGCGCATGTGACTGCGCATGTGTTGTAAACAAAGCACATATTTTTGATGATAAAAAGAAGCAACTGTTTTCCTGTAGTAACTTCAGTAAACCCTTATTTATTGTATTTAAAGCATTTGATTAAAGAAATCCACCAATAACCATGTAACCTATTAAGCTGTTTAGATGGATGTTCCAGGTAGAGTATCGTAGGCCTACAGCTACAATACCTTTATTTTATTATATTTGTCCGATTGTTTTAAGCGTTATTATTCTAATGGTGCACTTAGATAGTCCTACTGCTTCAGAATAAGTCTATTTTACAGTTGGAGGTGTAATTGACAGGATATTTACAATGTTTATTAATTCATTGTAATTGAACGAGTATGGGGAGAGCTGATCTGTCAGGGGTAGAAGGCAAGTCAATAACTAGAAACTTAACTTGCAATGCAGTTTTTCTGCATGAAACCTCTTATTGTTAATTTACCCTGGGAAACCATGCATAATCTGAAACCCCAAGATCTCAAATGTGTGGTTGTAAAGTTTGATGATGCTTAATGATTAAGTGTATAGAAGTTAAACATGTAAAGCAAGGTTAAGTATTGTTCAGATTTCTTCAGGTGAGAGAAAAAGTGAGTATTTGATGATAATTTGTTGCAGCCCTTGTTCAACCTGACTCTTAGAAAAAAAGCACTGCACAAGAAACAAGATTTAAATCCCTTTAATAAAACGCAGTGTAACAAAGGAAAATAATCAAACATAAAGCAAGTAGATAACATTTACAACCACAAAAGAAGAAAAAAACCTGTACAACTATAAATGCCTGGAGTCACTTCTATTTTCCAAAGATTTTTTTTTTATTAACCATTTTGTGATGACTGAGGAGAAACTTGGGAGTTTGGGGGCGAGAGGGGAACGGGAGGCATGTAATGTGACTATTTTAATTTTTTTCAAATACATGTGTGTAATCTCGTACACAGATGTATGCTTCATCAATGCGGCTGCTGAAGTTATTCTTTTTTTACCCAGACGATGAGATGGGCTGTGGCCACGAGTGTTATTTGTACAAGATGTCGTAATGGCCGGGTCTATAGAGGAGGAAGATGCGTGGGTCGCCTCCTTCAGGGAAGACGTGGTGATTGACTGTTCCTCCCTCTCCTCTATCCATGTACTCCACCAGGATGGAAATGTCCAGGGCCTGGGCTAAGGCGATGATGTGAATGTGGTCGCTTTCTTTAGACATGGGCTCTACCTCCTTTGAAAACAAGGAAAACATTTAAATCAGGTATTAGTTTGTTTATTGTGAGTTTGTTTTTGCAGAACTGGAATGGATAGATTCAGAACATGTCTGACACATCCTTAAAGATATATATCTTTCACTGTCAATATGCACATATTTTTTGGTTTGATCATTTCCTACTCATTTTCATCCAACGTGTGCAATGCCTTGTTTACAAGCTACTGTAATGAAAATATTTCTCAAATTAAGGATCAATAAAGTACATCTTATCTTATTCACCCAAGAATGGCTGACTTTTTGAAGCAAAAAAAGCATATTTCAATTTGTACATAAATGCCTTTAAACCCATCTTTTCTATTAAAATGATAATTTAGAGGCCCACATTTGTTTCTCATGAACTAGACGTTTTCATTTCCAAAACTAACCTGCTGACAGAACTCCTTGACAGAGCGTCCTCCTTCGATGAAATGCTGAAAGAATCCGTACTCTCTCTGCAGGTAGCCGGAGGTGAGCAGCCGCAGGTACACGACCAAATAGTCTGACACGTTCTGGTCGTTGAAGGAGTTCAGCACTTCCTGCAGGGTCGGCCGTTTCTCACACAGATCGATCAAGTCCATGAACTTTGAGAAAACACATTATTCATATCATTAGAGACATAATCCAACAAGATGATAGCTATAGTATACCTAATGCGAGATTCAACATTTTCACAATTTTGATCCGATAAAACGTTACTACTGTTCACTTCAATAAACAAAATAATAATATCATGCTTTCTGCTACTTTATAATATAGGGGAAATATCTGCAGCTTGGCTCCGCAGTTTAGAAATAAATAAGAAATGTCATTTTTCTTGAACAAGACACTTACAGTGTTGTGAAAGTCTTCAATGGTAAACTCAGTGAAGCCTTCATTAACCAGGTCCTGTTTACTTTTAGTTGCAACTGCTTTGAACCTGAAGAGACAAAAACATGTATTCAAAAACCTTGTGAAATGTGGGCCATCAATCATAGTGTTTGTTAGATCGTAGAATTGAAAACAGGACAAACTGACCAAGAGCTACGAACTCAGACAACAAAACACCTGACAGAACATCTGTTTTTGCTTCGGATGTCCTACGGGTGCTTCGCTTCCACTCTCTCTTTAGCTAAAGTAACACTATGAAACACTACAACGAAAGTGACTACAGCACAAACAGTAACCACTGTGACACTCACTTCTGAAGTTCCTTGCTGTCCTCAAGCAGCGATTCGAGATGTGCGAAGCCAAAGGCTCTGTAGAAACAGTTCCCATCTGGTCGCGTCTTACGAATGCACGAGTATTTTTTATGTAGGTCCTGCAAAAAAACAAAAAAATAGTTTTATAAAAACTGTGCACAGACTAATTGAGTATGCAATAGACATACAGTTTTATTCAGTAGGTACAGTAACCTTTGACTGACCTTGATCTTGAGCTGATAAACTGTGTCCTCGTCAGCGTACTCCCTCTGCAGCACCGCCAGGTCCTGTCTGTCCGACACTAACGGGTTACTGTTGGCTATCTACAGCCCACACACACAAAATAGATCATTAGAAAAACATCCCTCATGGGTGCCTCTATTCTGACCAAAACAGTGAATACTAGAACACTAGTACATTTTAGGCATCAGTTGGGTTTTCTGAACACTTCTGAAAATGAATAGAATGTGATACTTTTTGATCTGGATCTTCATTGAAAATGGATTTCTCACCTCCTGCTGAATTCTGTCCTGTTGAGCGATGATGGCCTCGTCGTATGCGAGGCAGTTCACTCCTCCTTTTAGAGAAGGGGACAGAATAATTAGGCGTTCAGAGTACAAACTCTGAAAAGGGAAATGATAGCCACCATGATGGCTGAAATGTAATCTGGTGATTGGCAATTGGATTTAAAAATCTGTATCAAATCAGGGCCAGTGTTAATAATGGATATCATGATAGAAAGTTGGTCAGGTTAAAATCTGAGGAGACATAGCTGTCAAGATCAGTGCTGCATATTGAACATGCCACAAATGCAATGCGCAGGATTTTTAAGAATAGCATTGTTAGAGCTAATTAATTATTTAGCTAAACAAGGCTAGATGTCTACAAAATGAACTTGCTAAGCGAATAGCTAAACAATTGCTGCAAGGAGTTTCAACAATACACACAATGTAAAGATACCCTGTCATTAAAACTAGCTGCACCTTCAGCAGCTTTGATAACACTTTAATGCATAATTAATTATAATCAAAACACATCCTATATTATTCTGAAGTGGGCCAATCTGCATAATGAGTACTTTCACTTTTGGTACTTTAAGTATATGTTGATATTAATACTTTTCTTAAGTAACATTTTGAATGCAGGACTTTTACTTTGACAGAGTTTTCCTATACTTTTGTACTTCTACTTTTAGATCCGAGTACTTCCCCCCCCCCCACCATGCTGGTTAGTGAAATCAACATCGCACTGACGTAAATAAAAACAATAATCAAATGGATATGTACTTAAAATGTAAAAAGCATGCACGAAGACAGCTATATTGTCTCTCCCTATTTGTATGACATGTCGTCACCACAGAGGATTCAGCCATAGTCAGCAGTTAACATGAAACCACTTCAATGAGAACACCAGCTAACGTCAGTCAGCTCAACATGGCTAGCTCGACCCGAGCGAAAACAAAACAAATTCAAGTCACGACAAAAACGGTTTTTCTAGCTACTAAAAACGGGATGTCCGGTCTTCTAATATTGAGCATACATTTTCAACATTTCCCCAAGTCAAAAATTGTGGGACTGCCACTTATTGCTGCCATGACAGTAACTAAACAAGCGTTTTCTCTTTGTGTAGCAATGGTAGCTAGCTAACATTAGCCAACTAGCTGTGGCCTCATCACTCCATGCCAGCCCCCGGCCCCGCGGAGAGGACAGCGGCTGAAACGCCGAGCGGACACTCGCGTCGGTTCGGGCTTCATTTGCAAGAGAAATGGCCACACTGTTAGTTGTATATTTTGTGTTGCAACTGTTTCACTCACCCCCCACCTCTGGCTGTGATGATTCCTGCTGCTCCTCCGCCATCTTAGCTATCGAGATCTGTTTCCTCCTTCTGCATGACTTCATTAATTACTCACTTCCGGTCCAGTCTTGTTTGTTTATTTTCTGTTAGTTTTATTTGATTGGTTGGTTGACTTTTTTAATTAGGTGTTATTAGACCTTTTCTTGCCAAAACTGCCGATAGTAAACCAAACTATCAGCAGTCTAGTTTGCTAATAACCTACTTTTTAAACGTAACTAGTTGGCTACTTATTTACTTGTGGCCTAAATTGTCCCCATAAATAATGAGCCATGTCATGATAGGCAACACAATATCATAAAGAAAGAAAGAAAAATATATTTGGGGTGATTTCAAGGATATTCAACCCAAATACAATTTTAAATTGCTTTTTTTGAACATGCAAAAGTGAATGTTACGTAAATAATGGGATGTCAGTAAATGCTTTAAAAAAGTGTGACAACAATCAGTTGTAGTATAGTTTTTGCAGTTTTTGACTATGAATAATGCTATTTAATGATTGTATAAATAAAATAACTATAATATTAATGTAAAACAATACATATTTTAAGAATACTGTGTTCATTGAGACAAAAGGTGAAAGTTAAGCAGTGACATTTAAAGTATGTTGCAAACATCCCTGATGTTTGTTACAACTGTCCCCCGGGTTGGGGTCAAGAAAACATCTAAATTGAATTCCTTTCTGATGTACATTGTGAACAATCCGTCATATATGTTCATATTTAAATGGTATGAGTGATTAAAACACATGTTTAAGTTTACTTTTAGTTGGTCAAGTCCGAATAGTCTCTCTGATTAACTGCGATAAAAGCAAAAAGTCCTGCGACTGTTCCCATTCTTCCCTATTTTACATAATTTTATTGTGATGCAACTAAAGCAAAACCTGGATGAGTGTGTTAACTGTATTTTATTTTATTTATTTTTTAATTGCTCAATCTGTTTTGGTAATGGTTATGTTCAAAATCTAGTTTCAATTATTTTTTTAGTTGATGTTATATGCCATGTTGCTCTTTTCTTTAATTAATTAGCAGCACAAACATCACACCAAGCATCACATGACAATGAGGGAATAGATAGACTGTGCATCATGAGTTGGAAACCTGTGAATACTGCTCATTTAGTCCTTTGCAGTTCAATCCCAAACTAAATCCAATTTCCCCCAAAACTAGAATAAATATCAGTGTAAATGCACATGTATATGATCCAAACAATCTTTGACCATCAACATCATACAAAAAATGCACATTTATTTCAACCCCTCAATACAATCTGATACCCAAACATAGCCCTTAAAATAAACAAATGTCCAGGCAAGTGACCAGGAAGATCATTTCTCACAATCACAGTGCAATGCAGAGTCTTTTCATAGTTCTGTAGTTTAGCAGTAGGCTCATTCAGCTCCCTGCACTTCCCAGCAGTACACATCAGGGGGCAATGTTCACTACAAATACAGCCTACATTCACACATAACACCATTCATTTGCTTTAACCTATATCAGGTGTGAGCAAATAATATATGGCACATTGTTTTTGCAACAAACGGTCTCAAATTCTTAAGGTAAAATAAACTAAACATAACAATGTAATACATATACGTGAAGAAACAAATAATACTTCATATTTGCCAATTAAGCAAATAGATTGTTCTATACTTTCCCTTTGGCACATTTCTTCCCATGTCAGGGTTGTAACAGAGTCCAATATTTACAAAATGTATCTACTATTGCTCATCTAAAGCACACTCGGTTGAAGAATAAAAAATGGATTTTACAAAAACATAGCAGCTGTTCCAGCTCTCAACTTGGATCAGGAGCAGGTTGTACTGGTTATTGATCTGCTATTTGTGTTTGCTTATTTACTGTACAGATGATTTAAATTTAAAACGTATTTTTAAAAAATCGTATCAGAATTTATTTGCATTTTTGTACAGATTTACAGGTCACCAAATCACCACATTAATAAGTCATGTTTTGACTTAATGACATCCAAGACAATTAGGAGGTATGCATGGTGCAGGTGTGGCAAAGAAGGAACAACCCCATGGTGTGGATCAGCTCCCAAACCGTGTGTGTTGTGTAAGGAAACTTAACCCAGGCAGGGTTAGTGACACACTGAGCACCACTATGGCATCAACAACCCTACATACAGAAGTGTTGCAATCTTCTGATTTACCAACTTCCCCACGGCCTCCTCTACTTCTCTTGCATTTCCTTATTTATTTGTTCTACTGTACATGTCCTTGAGTTCTTTTAACATCCCCCTCAAAGGTATGTCAACTGCAATCACCTGTCCGTCATAGAGCACCAGATGCTGTATTGCGAAATGGGAACACAAAATATTGTCTGCGAAATATTGCGACATAGTCTTTGTTTGTGCCAATAGTTCCAGGAACACACTTGCTGATCACCAAACATCAGGCAGCAATCCGATATGTCCAGTAGATGCTGCAAAGAATTCCTCTTAAGAGTTTATTGTATTGCACCATGCACAATAGAAGAAGCAGCATTGTAGTCAAGATGCAGATGTTGTTTCTCAGGATTGTGCCTTTGAATCTGTTCCAAGACCAGAGCTGACAAGTCTTGTAGTTCCACATGTTCATTCCCAGCTGCCTGCTAAACTATCTGGGCCTTGTGGATCAGGGAGGCATGGGGACTGATCCCAGTGGGCCTGGGTTTAGGTCTGATTGTGCCGTTAGTCTGCTGATAGAGAGCACTGTGGGCCTCGGACACCTGGGAGCTGTTTGTCTCGCTGTCTTGGTCATCGGGGTGCTCCTGACTGGCAGGACCTCCCAAACCTTCGTCCACTTCATCCTCATCATCTATTACCTGAGGGTAGTTGTAGTTCGGAGGAGGGTGCAGGTGGTTTTTGGAGACACTTCCTGTCCGTGAACCCCCGTCTGGTGGGATGATGGCGCTGCCGTTCAGCTGTCTCACAATCTCAGTGGACTGAAGGATTGGGAAGGCTGAAGGCGTGAGAGGAGGGTGGAATCGAGTTTCCTGCTGAAACAAACAGCATTAGGTAAGTATGCAGAGGCTAATAAGCTTGCTCAGATGCATTCCACAATTTGGTTAAATCGTGTTTTGACTTGCCCAGAAATACGCATACACAAAGACACACTTACTAAAGAAATACTGCTGTTTCTCACATATGACTCCACTCTGAGTCGGTTCTCCTCGTCTCTATCCAGAGTCCTTTCTCTTCCCCTCCGAGAGTTGTTGTTTAGGACTGGTCTGCCCAGATAGTCGTACGCTCCCATTCCACTCTGTCCAATAGAGATAGTCGAGCGGCTGTCACGGCAGTGGGCCTGCTCCTGTCGGCACGGAAACACACGGTGATCAGTTTCACTCATTCACCCATTCATATTCTGCACCCTTTGTTTAAACTGTAGACAATTTTGTTATAAAGATTGATTTGAAATAGTCATTCTGAGATTTCTTTTATTATTAATTAATTAAAGCAATAATATGTTAGTTTGCTTTCTTGCATATCTTGAAATATCATGTAACACTGTAATGGATCTCTAATTTCCAATTAATTTCCAAATAATGTCCGAGCTAGAAAAAAATATGTATTAATTCACTTTGGTTTGAATAAAAAAGAAATGTTTTTAAAAATAAAAAGCTACATAGCACACAAGGGGACGGGTAATAACCGGAAAAGCATGTGAAGGGACCTTTAACACGTGGGTGTATAAGGCTTTTAATTACAGCTGCTATATAAAACTAAAGGATTAACTGGAATAACTTTGTGCAGAACACCATGGGTGAGGTCAGCAGAATCACATGACACATAGACGACATTAAAGGGTAGGTTTGACATTTTTGGAGATGTGCTTCTTTGCTTGCCTCACTGTAGTGTACCTCAGTGTAGTACCTCAGTGTAGTACCTCAGTGTAGACGTTTAAAAAGCTACCCATTAAACAAAACGTCCCAAGAAAGAGGAGCATTAAAGTAGCAGAAAGGTATTTAAAGGGTTATCGTTATTATTATTATCCGAGATGCACTACATTCAGATTTGAAATGTAAAACGTAGACTGACCCCGAGGGAAGACAGGCTGTTCCTTAGGGTCGCCTCCACCCTCAGAGGGATGTTTTCCTCCGTCTGAAAGGAAACAGAGAGCTGGATTAGATGAGTGAAAAGCCTAGGCAACTAACATAAAACCTTTTCCAAACTTCCCTCACTTGTAGGTAGGGCAAGATGAGCGACAGACGAGATATTATCATTTGACTGACTGCATTATAATTCATCTCAGTATCAATTCTGAATGAGAATCCCTGCATAAATGATTATGTGAAACATATGGGACCAGCAATCCTGAATCAGGTCGTGCACACAAAGGATAACACCCAACATGATGCTGCAGTGCTCAGTGTATAAAGAATAATTCAGGAATAGTACCGCTCCTCTGGCATCTGTGCTGACAGAGTTCATCCTCCTGATAGAAGCAACCCTCGCCAGAGTGTTTATTTCCTCCCTGCAAGAAAAAAGGGAAAAAGAAGATATTTAAATGATTGAAGAAATAGACTGTGGATCATCCATATTTTTGAGCATTTTCAGATTTGACAGCATATTATAACATCTTTGCTGTTATTTTCCACATCCAGCACACTCAGGTATTACTTAATTTGACACATTTTGCTTATCTAATTCTAACTGTCAGTGCTAATACGGTCAGTAGCCCTGAGTAACTCCACTCTTAGTTTTTCTTATTGACGTAATCTTCCCATAGGATATCATTAATGTATCATCTCATTGTATCTCATCTTAATTACAAAATCCCAACATACTTCTTCTGAGTCAGCTCCCTCTCCAGCTTCCTGTTCTTCCGTTTGTGATGACAAGTGACACAGATGATGACGATAAGCATCAGGATCAGCAGCCCCCCCGCCGCGCCCCCGATGAAGATCATTGGCATTTTCTCAAACAAGCTCAGCTCCTGGCGGGAGTCTGCAAAGGAGGTCGGGGGGGGGGGGATTAGATGGATGCGTACATGTATTCTCATTGTAAGTGTTGTAATTACTTTGTTGTCATGTACCTCCCACAATAATCTCCACCTCCGCCGTCCCTACTCCCACGTCGTTCTTCGCCACACACTGGTAGGTGCCTTTATCTGACGGGCTAAGGGGTCGTCCAAAAACTAGTGTTCCATTAAGGTGGAGGATAACTCCCTCCGGTAACTCTCCCCCAACTCTGTAAAGAAGACAAAACAGAGTTATAGTGCATTTATATCAACATATGGAGCCCTTACTTTATTATCTTGGTCATGTGATGATCTGAGTTCCCTTTTTAAGAATTGCAACATCTCTTCAGAGATGGCAAAAGTACACACATCCTTTACTCAAGTAGAAGTACAGATACTGGTGTTTAAAAATACTCGTAGAAGTAGTAGTACTGACTAAACTTCTTTACTCAAGTAAAAGTAAAGTGTTGGCTTCGAAATGTACTTAAGTAAAAAGTAAACCAACTGTTTTATAGAGTAACTGGCCTCCCTTAGTTTATATTAATAGAACAATAATGTTCGATGCTGAACAACGGCAACATGACAACGGCAACATGACAAAGTTTTCATTGGTCCCTCTTCTTAAGAGAAGACCAGGGCCCTTTCTCATTTCATCAAATCCCCCTCCTCGACTCCTCGACTCCTCGGTCCTCCGGTAGTGACCCGGAAATACATTTCAGCACGCCATGTTGAAGGACATCTCATTTCTCTAAATGCACTTCGAGGACCGAGGATCGATCATCGAGGAGGCTCTCTGGAGGAGCTATAACCGAGGATACACTGATGGGTCCTCCACGGTCCTCCACGGCTCCTTCGCGGATGCATTTCCGGGAACAGAGATGTTTCAAAGAGTCGTGACGCACGGCCGGACTTATCTCAGCCAATGACAGCTCTGCATGCATCCCCTGGATATTATTTTATTAACTGCTTTCATCGCGACGCGATGTTCAGTGAGAACAGCTGTGACGTCCGTGCAGAAAGTAGAGCAGTGTGTATAATATATATCACTCAGTATAACAGGCCTACTCTCTGTATTTGCTTTAGTTTAGTAGATATCTACAAACAAAGAGTCGATATTTTTCTAAGACCATTTAGTGCTTCACATAATAAAATACACAACGGCTTTTAGGTTGTTAGCTGTAGGTGCGTGTGCGTGTGTTGTAGGTGTGTGTGGTACAGTGTGTGCGTAGATGCAGCAGACAGACAGGTCTCAGTTGGTTTGGTGTCCTCTGCTTACTTTTAATACTTGTAAATAAAACTTTTGGCCCGTAATTTATTTTCCTCATTGTAGCGACCAGAGAGGGGGGGGATATAGCCTATCCAGTCTCTGATAGTGTTACGTTATTATGAGAGTGCTCTGTTTGATTCTGAAATTGAATATATTTATATAAATATATACATATGTGTGTGTGTCCGCATAAGTAGCCTGTTATTGTCTCATTATACCGCACTGTGAATGAATGAATCAAAGTAAATATATAAGTCATCATGAACACATCTGTCCATCAGACAGAGGGCTGCTGTGCCTCCTGTCATCATTAATGGACGTCTCTTTAAAATGACCGCTCAGAGGAGAGGAGTTCTCATTTCTCTAACCGCCTGCTGCTTCCCCTCCTCTCTCCTCGGCTCCTCGGCTCGCATCTCCTGTGTGTCTTGAGGCAACACATCCTCACTCCCAGGTCGGCCTATGTTGACGTTATGTCAAGTCCTGTGTCGGCTTTTTCCAACGCAAGGGGGGGGGGCTTAGCGTCCATTTTCAACGCAAGGGGGGGGGCCTTAGCGTCCATTTTCAGCTTTCCGGGATGTCCATATGCTTCTATGGACGCTCATGGAAGCACGGCATTCGTTTGTGTCGGCTGCCCTTAAAGGCAATGTGAGCGTCCATTCTCATTGGATAACGGAGAATTGTACACCCGGAAGTAAGTATTCCCCTTACTGTCGATTGATTTTACAGTGTTATCTGCACTACTCATCGACTAAAAAACACCAGATTATCCTTGTTAATTACACAACATTGATTGGTTTAAATTGTGTGCAATGCTTTTGTATTTTTCCCCTTCGATTCGGAGAAACAAATATTTGTTCGGAGTAAAGGATGGCAGAAGACACTACACTACCCAGAATCCCCAGCTATCGTTTGGACTACACCAGTGGTTCTCAAAGTGTGGGGGCGCAGAGGCATGCCAGGGGGGGGGGGGGGGGGGGGGGGGGGGGCGCGAGAGACCAGGAGGAAAAATGGTTATATAAAAAAAAAAAAGATTTAAAAAAAAAATCATAATTTGAAAAATTATTGATTCGAAAATAATATGATACAGTACAGTACTATTACGTCTGGGTCTCTGTGTTTCATTAAAGCTCGGCTTTGTGTGTGTGGAACGAGCCATTTTGTGTGCGCGAGAGAGAGAGAGAAGAGAGCGCACCGGTACCGGAGATCGTTGTTCTTAGCTTCTGGTGCTAGCGAGCTACGATAACGGATATGTCAGACTGAGAGACTCAGTGAACTAAAGGACTCTCTCATTGGGTCTCAAACGTTTTGGACACCATTAATGTAAACAATTATTTCCGAGGCACACATTTATATGATCATTATCGTTATAAAAAAATAAGAGAATAAATGAAAAACAGGTATGAAATACTATATGACCTTAAAAAAAGAATAAAGTTTAACAGGGTGATTTGTAAAATATCCATTAAAAAAAAGTAAATCTGTTTACAGTTCCGTTTCATCTGGGTGTTGAGAGAGGTATCCATAGATCTCTTCATTTTGCTCTCAATGTGTCCACACACCACCTATAAAAATAGCTCGTTACCCCTGCTTACACCTATATGCCGTGAGCTGATTATCGAGCCTTTGTTGTAACAGTTGCGGGAACACTATGTATGTGCGTGTGGAGAGTGTTGCACTGCAGTAGAAAATTCCACTGTAGCGACCGGTACATTAATGGGAAACCCTAAATGTTTGAGCACCCTCTATGAAACGTCAAGCTACCCCACAGCACCCCCAAAAGAAGTCTCTGGCGCCGCCACTGAGCCTGACTATGTGTGTTGGGGGGGCCCGACTTTTTTTTTTTCTCCAAAGGGGGGGCCTGACAGAAAAAGTTTGAGAACCACTGGACTACACCATGTGCTCTGTTTGACAAACCCCGTGATAGTCCTCAAGCTCTGTGATTGGAGAGTGTGCTCCGAGGGTTACGCCGAGCCTCGAACAGCAGAATGTCCAAAACTGGATTTGAACGGGACCACCGCGTCCCCCCCCCCTCCCCCACCCCGTCCCGAGAACTACACATGCTGGCTATTCTGTTTCGCAACATGTTCTCTATCTATGGCACGTCTCTACTGGGAGTTGTAGTTTTAAAAGACGTTTTCGTATTTCCCATAATAAGAAGTTGCCAGTATTAAACTGTGTACATCCCTGGAGGTTTAGGGGATAGGAAACACTCACATTTAAAACATATAATTAATAAATGGGTGAAAATTGCTTGTGCCCATAATGGGCAGCATTAATATATATACACACATGCCAGCTAAGGTCAGAAGAGCTTTATTTAACAGCTGGTCTTATGTTTGTGACCCCTGTTGTTAATTGATAACATTACATTACATTAATTGATAAGCCTGAAACATGCACTTGTCAAGGTTCAGAGGCACATTTTGCAAATATGGCAGTAGCCATCGATTAGCTTAAGATAAGATATACTTTATTGATCCCAAGTTGGAACATTTGCGTTACATCAGCATGTGTAACAGTTAAATATGCAGTGGTGTTCATTTGTAAATCATTTAGTATAATCACACAAATTATGTGTTTTATATTCAACAATTCCGTGTTCTTTATTTATTGATTGTTCAATACCTGACAAGGCCGGAGATGAAATATCTACATACATCTTATAAGAGTATAATACATTATGTATAATATCAGTTAAAATAAGTGCTTCAACATAGTTAACATTGCTAACAAATATTGATAGATGTCTTGTAATGCACTATTGAAGAACCTGCGACCCAAGTTTTTCATTCAATGCATAACTACACCATAGTTGTGTAGGCCTATATCAGGGGTGGCCAACCCGCGGCTCTCGAGCCGCATGCGGCTCTTTGCCTAGTTTCATGCGGCTCTTCAGTTCATATCGAATTTTATGTGTGAGTTTGGGGGAGAGACACTGACTCCTGACTAGTGTTGCACGGTGTACCAATACTTGAAAGGTACCGCGATACCCTGCCGTTAAAAACGTTACGATTCCTCCGTTTCATTAGTATCGGTACTTTAAGAATGACGGGGGAAAGTACTCCGGTGAGAAAGCGCCGTTTTAATAAGAGCCGTGTGTGTTCAGCGCTCTGCTTCCACTCCCTGCACTGCAGCCGTGCCTGCAGTCCCGCCCCTCTCAAGCACGCTCTAAGTGCCTCCCCTCTCTCGTGCACGCGCTAGCTGCCAGAGCATGTGAGAAAACGAGAAGCATGGCTGCAAGTGGGAGTGCAACTGCCGCTGCGCCTCGGCTTGTTGACAAAAGACGCCAGAAGCGAAATTTGGAAGTATTTGAGCTATATCTCTGACAGTGAGGGCAAGCCTACGGACACCACGAGGCCCGTCTGTAAGAAATGTATTAATTGTATTTAATACGAATTCTTGTCATTTATTTTATTTATTGTTCTCATTGTTTAAAAGTTTGTGTTATGGTTCTGGTGTGAAATAAAGCACAATAATTACATTTAAGACCGTTTCCCTTTTTTTAAGAAAATATCGAAAAATAATCGGAATCGCAATTCTTGACTTGGTATCAAAACCAAAATGTTGGTATCGTGACAACACTAGCTACTCCTGACAGTTAAACCTGATATTTAGTAGGTCTGTTAAGTATTGAATGCTGATAATTCTGACGTAATTTGGCCGGTCAAAGTTGTTTGGGCTCGGATAAAATCGCTCCGTTACTTTCGTCCCGTGTTATGTATGTTGTGTGTCAGTATGAGAGGATGACAGCGCGTATAATTTTGATGTGGCCCAAGAGCCAATCACAATAATACCTGCGATGCAGTGAACCAATCACCTTTGAGGGGGGGGGGGGGGAAACCTATCGTTGATTAAACATTATCCAGTGTTTCCCCTACCATTGTCTTGGAGGGGCGCTGCGCCCCGCCAACGGAGCCCCGCGCCCCCCCTGAAATTCAAGGTGTTTAAAAAAAAAATATATAT